CCCCCCCAGGCGGCCCCCCCCAGGGCAGCCCCTACCTGGGCAGGCTCCACGCTGGCGGGCAGCCCCTCGGGCAGGGCCTGGAACAGCAGCAAGGCCATGGCGGCGCGGAGCCTCCTCGCCATCCCCCCCACCCCCCGCTCCCCGCCTCCCCAGCCCGACTGCGGCCCGGGACGGGAGCCGAGGGGGCACCCCGCGCCCCGGCCCGCCCCAGCCGGTCGCCTATTGGGCTGACGACGTGCCGCTTGCTTAGCCAGTGGCTCAGCGCGCTGTCGCTTAGGGCAGAACCGGGAGGGGCGGGGTCTGCGCGCAGGGAGCTGCCATCTTGAGTGTGGCACACCGGAGAGGGAGCCTGGAGTGGGGCGAGGACTGCCATATTGTGAGTGGCGGAACTGGCTGGGGAGAGGTCTGGGGGGCTGCCCCTTGGTCCTGCACCCCCAGTGCAATGCACCCCCGGGGGCAGAGCTGGATACTGCAAAAAGGGGGGTGCACAAGCACCCCCTGGCCTGCTACGTCCTCCCTGACACCCCAATGGCAGCCAGGCACTCATCCCCCATTCACCTGGTCACATCGTGATCCCCACTCGGCCTCCTCCCCAATGCACCCACAGAGACCCCAACCCAAACAGCCCACCTGAAGCTGGGGCACACCGGGGAGCTTGACGTGGAAAGGGTGCTAAAATGGCAGCAGCAGCATGGGGCTGGACTGGAGGCAGCCGGCAGGCAGACACGTGTTGGTACCAGCCCCATCGGGAGACAGGAGCAACATGGAGAAGAGGATCTCCCACCGCAGCCGGGTCCCAGCATGTCCCCATACAGCCATCCCTCACCCAGGCTGGCACTCCCCAGGAGGAGTGGGGGCACCAGCACTTGGGGTTCATTCACAGCTCGGGGGAGATGGCCTGGGAGATGTTTCTGGGGCAGTGACAGAGGCTTTCTACACCACCACTCCTGGCGTGCCAGGCAGCCTCCATGCTGGATTGGCACAATGAGGTTTATCAGATGCTCAGCTAACACGTTAAGAAAAGCCAGGAGAAAAATAATCGACTTAGCAGCTTATCTCCTACCCTGGCATTTTTCAGTTGGGGCAGTACTTGAGGCACACCTAACCCTGCTGGATCAGCTTGGCCGCCTGCTGCTGGCATGGGCTGTCAGGTGTTAACCCATTGCACATGCACCCTGCTTGCTCCTCTCTCCATAGGCAGCCAGTTCACCAGCCTCCACCGGCCTTTGGGCAAGGACCAGTGAGCCAAGCCTGCCTCCTGGGGCTGCTGATGCCTCAAAGGAGACCCCCAACCTCCCATGCTTCCCCAGCCCTTCCCCAGGCTCTGCTACAGCCCAACATGATGTCTTTGATCTGGTTATCATTTGAAGGGACGTTGTAAACATGCTGGAGCACTGACATTTTGGCCATGCACAGTTATTAAAGGAGCTTTTTTCCTGTTCCCGGCTAGCCCTGAAATTAGAGGCACAGCGGGAGAAGGCTTCCAGTCCACAGAGCACAGGACAAGCCCAGATCAGGTGTGACTCATCACTAGAGAGCAATTAACACTTGCAGCTCTTCCCAAACAGGGATGAGTCCAGCTCTGACTCCTGGCAATGAGGTTTCCTTCCTGTTGCAGCAATGGGAAAGGGAGGAGGGCTGGCCGAGCCACCCTTGGCAGCATGGGGACTTGCTGCCCACAGCCTGGCTGTGACCTCTCTGCTCCCCAGCGAGACCAAGGCAGGCCGTGGCGTAACTGTGGTTTTGGGGAGTGCAGGCAGGCACTGGCTGCAGCAACTATCTCCCGACACTGGAGTGATGTGAGCTTTTGAGATGACTTGAATCCTCCGGGGGAGATTCCAGCTACAACCTAGAAACCTAGAAACCCTGCTGAGCTAAACTGTCAGCTGGCATAAATCCATGTTGATCTGAAGAGGGAATCCACTGCTATAAGCTCAGGGGGGAGGTCTGGCTTGAGGGTGGCTTGCTGATCCTCCAAGCCCAGAGCAGCCCTCTTCCTCTGGCCAAGAGCAATGAACTGCAACATGTCCTGCTCCCCAGGGCAGGGGGAGAGCTGGCATGAGATGGCAATAGCTCTTCAGAGGGTGCCTCTGCTCCATTGCCCCTCTGGTATGACTGGGGGCAGGAAAGAAGGAGTGACAAAACCACTGAGGCTTTCCCACCATGGTCCCAATCTTGGTTTTGGGTGGATGCTGTGCTGGCATCACTGGCCGCAGAGCCCCCCTGCCCTGCTGGGACCCCCATGCACTGCAAACATAGAAAGGGTCAACAGCAAGAGCGTGGCTGTGATGTGCAGGGGAAGGGCAGTTTTAGGGTGCTGCGGCACATTGTTTTACACTCATCACTATGCTCCCAAGCAAGCCAGAGGCACCTTGGACCCAAATACAGCCCAGGCTGCTACAGGTACCCTTCTGAAAGTGCTGAAAGCAGTTTTGGGTGTAGGGCAAGAGCAGCTTGAGTTAAGGAGCTTAAGAAAAGCAGAGAGCAGAGACGTCTCCTTGTGGCTTCTTCCCACTCCCAACAGGAGTGACATCTGTTTCATTTCATGTGCTTATCTATTATTTTAATTGCGCATTAACAAGAGATCTAATAATGCCCAGGGAACAGATACACAAGTTTGAACACGTTTTCCTACTTTCCGCTGACCTATTAATTATTTCAAAGCTCTTGTGCAGCTTTCTAGCTGTAGCTACATGCGGTTGGAGACTTTATCCTCTGCCTGTTGCAGCTTGGGCAGAAGCAAACCTGCTGTGGATACAGCTTGGCCCTTCAAGAAGTAAGTTTGGGGTTTGGCTGCTCTCTCTGTAGGAGCAGAGTGGTTAATGCCAAAAAGCCCTTTGGCTGCAGACCCTGTGTCTCCACTCAGACATGTGGCTGATGTGGGGATGCTGCTGCCCTCGGGGATCTGACACATATTCCTGGCTGGAGGGACAAGCATGAACCATCTGCCAGGCCATGGGGCTCTCTGAGCAGCCACGTCATATGGCTGGTTAGAAACATGCTTGTCCCACCAAGGGATGTTCATCAGCAAGCAGAGAGCCTGGATGCAGCTGGTTGAGGGTGGGGACTAAAGCCCAGGACTTGGGCTAAACTCTGGGGCTCCTTCCTCCTCTGAAAATAGGCTGCAGCAAACTCAAGCCACTCTTCTTTGGGGTGGGAGACGCCTCGTGGCAGACCCAGGTTAGCATCATGCAAATGCTGCCTGGCCAAGAAGACAAACAGCACGCGTGGGTGTAGGAAGGGTCACCCAGTGTCATCCCCCAGTTCCCCCAATGGGGCAAGACTCACCACAAGCACTGTCACCTCCCTTTGTCACTTGCCTCAGGACTGTTTGCAGCCCCAAGAACCTCTTGGGGAAGGCTGCATGGGATGCCCAAGGGTTTCAGGAATCATGCCAGCCCTTGCAGAGCCTCACGGCTCTTCCTCCTTCTCCTGGCCCCTGTGCTGACCCTCACCCTGGTGCTTGGTCAGTCACAGAGCCTGCACCTTTCCCTTTCAAGGCAGGCATGAGACCCATGTACCAGCCCTGCCCAGGGAACCAGACACCCAGAGACCAGCCCAAAGCAGAACCCACAACCGTTTTTTAAAAAATCACTGTATTTTATTTTTCAGCCCTCCTCTGTGTCGTTTGCAGGGCTGCTATTCAGAGCCTGAGTTAATGCCTCGACAGCTTTGTGACTCCTGTGTCTCCTTCCCCCTCTCCAAGGGGGCCCAGAGTCGACTGTGCCCCAAAGCTGCAGGTCCTTGGTCCTACCGTGAGGACAGTAAGATGCAGTATAAGGGTGATGGCTGGCTCTTGTGCTCATAGGAATGGGTAGATTGCAAAAATTAGAGCTTAAAAACAATTAGCTATTTCCCTCCTGGATTGTAGCAATGGCAAAGTGAATAAAACCTGAACCTGAGAGCAAGGAAGGCATGGTCCAAGCATTGGCCCCTGGACTTTGGGGTGTTCCCGGTACAGAGGGGACAGGTCCCTTCCTGCCTGCCAAGGTGTGGTCCAGCTCTTGGTAAAAGGCCACTGTGGTGGTTTAAGGCAGCAACGTGGTTTGGTTCCTGGTACAATGGCAGGGCACCGGCTTTTGGAGGTAGGACTGTGCTCTGAGCCCCGAGGGAGAGAGCCTGATGCCTTGCAGAGCCGAGCCCAGTGACCACGCAAGGCTCAGACAGGCTGGGCAGATCCTCCTGCACAGGGCAGGAGGAAAGCATGGAAGTGCAGCCATTGCCCAGGGCAAAAAGGACATGGGGAGGCAGGGACACAGCCAGCAGCAGATGGGGGGAGGCTCAGAAAAAGCCGAAGTGCTGCAAGCTGTGCACGCAGAGCCAGATCCTGCCTCTCCGGGGGAAGGACGCAGCAGAGACGGTGCTGGGCTGGGGGGCAGATCTGGCTGGACCATGCCTCTGAGCCCTGCTCAGGGGACATGAGGCTGGTGGTAGCAGGGGGCCGGAGGGGTGTGATGGCTCCTGAGGTAGTGTCCGTTCACAGTCCCTTGTTAAAATAGACGTACGGCACTTTGTCCCCATGCTTGGCCACGATGCTGTCACGCAGGTCCAGCTCAAGGTCAGCCAGTGCAAGGGAGCTGTGGGGAGAGAGGATAGAGACTGAGACGTGTGATCCTCCTCCCTGACCACCAGTCAGGCCACCCTCCCTCCCCATTGCTATTTGAGGTCCCCTACAGTCCCTGGGATCTTGCAAGCTCACATCAAGACCCACCACCCATCCCTAGCATCCACCACTCCCAGTGCTGGGGGGCAGAGAGCTGCCCATGGGGCTGGGGGTCCCATTGCTCCCAGCACAGAACTTGCAGAGCAGGGGAGGCACAGGTTCTGCTGCTGCCTGGGGCACCAGCATGTACAAGCAGGCGCTGCCTTGGGTTGAAGGGTGTGTGCCCATCATGCTTCTCCTGGGATGGGCAGAGAAGAGCTAGGGGAGGAGGAAGGCTCCTGAGGTCCCGCACAGGAGGGGGAAGCAGTGGGACAGGTACCATCTCTGTGGGAACAGGGCACAGGCTGCCGGCACCATGAACAGGAGGCTGTGGGACAGAGAAGAGCCAAGTGTTAGTGCTGGGGATCGCAGCCCGTTTGCCCCCCCGGCCACAGGGATCTCGGCCCAAGAGGTGCTGCTCATGCCCCACCACTCCCAATAACTGGGGAAAGCCCAGGCTGAAAGGCAAGCAGCTTTGCAATCCCCTGCTGGGAAAGAGGTCTCTTTTTAAGCATCCCTTGGAGCCAGGCACCCACAGGCATTTGAGCAGTGAGATACTTACAAGCCCCCGCAGAGCAGCACCTGCAGAGGCCCGTGGAGAACCCGGATCCGCTGCAAGGGAAGAGCCAGGAGTGAGTCCCTGGCCTTGCCGCAAGCCCTGCTCACAGGGTGGGGAGACTTCTCCCCTCAATGGGCTGAATGCCCAACACCTTCAGGGTGCCACCAACTCCTGCCATCCTCCCACAGCCTCTCCATGTCACCTGAGAGACCTTTGCTGTACCAGTGACTTGAATAAGTGGCAAAGCAAGCCAGGCTCTGCAACTCCCCACTTCATCCCCAGCATCTTGGCGGCTGGGGAGCAGGGCCGGGGCACCACAGGACCCACTGGAAAACCGTGGCGGGAGAAATGTGGGCTCACCTGCATGAAGGGGAATCTCTCCAGGCGCTCCATGATGATGGGCAAAATAACTAGGTGCAGAAAGAAAAGGTAAGCCCCCCCCACAAGCCAGCCCACAGGGCTGCCCGAGCAGGACCACCCTCCTGGAGCCATGGCAGCAGCTAGCTGTACTGGGGGCCATTGGGTGTTTGCTCATGGCAGGGACCTGGCACAGGACCCCCATCCATCATCCATCACCTGGCCAGCATGGTCCATGCTTCTCGTGCTCCTGTCCCTCCTGCCGGGCTTGCAGCACAGCAAGGGTCGCGTGAGGGCGAGGGGATGCCGGGCTGCGGGGTGAGGGGCCAGGGCCAGAGAGCGCGAGAGGCGTCCTTGTGGGCCCCAACTGCTGTGGGAGCACCCCATGTCCCCCACGGGCTGTGGGTTGGGATGAGGAGGGCTGGGGGCTCAGGGGACTCTGATGGCAATGCCAAGATGGCTCCAACAGTGAGATGAGACCAAACACCACCTGGGGTGCAGGGCCACCCTCCCTCTTCCTCCTGGGGGAAACTGAAGCAGGGGAGGGCGAGGCGGTGGGTCCCAGGGGAGCGTCCAGTCCGGCCCCCACCCTCCTGCCCGGCACTTACTCATGCCCGGTGCCGCCATGGTGATCCTGGAGACCACGACCTGCGCAATGCCCTTCGCAGCCGCCCTCTGCAAGCAAAAGCAGCAGGTGAGCCCCAGCCATGCCGTGCCCCAACCCGGACCCCCATCCTCAGACTCACCCTGGAGTGGCCGAGCTCATTGTTGTCCCTGTCTGTCACCATGACCCCATTGATGATCTCCCTGGAGGGGACAGGCAGCTGTGAGTGGGGGCCGGGACGGTGAGGGAAACGGGAGGACACGGCAAGGGGGTGAGGGGGTGCCAAGGGGGTTCCCTGTGCTGTGCTGGCACAGCAGCCCTGGCTGCCGCCTGCCCTGGCCCCAGGGCACGGGGCTCCACCGCCCCAGGGCGCCGCGGTCCCCGGCCCAGCCGATGCTGCCATCTTCAGGGCACGGCTGCGAACAGGGTCCGGCCGCCTGGGGGACAGACCCCCGCCCGGGACCCGCGGCTGAGCCAGGGGACAGTCCCCCACACAGCTCCCCCCCCTTGACCCGCGGGGGACCCCGAGGAGCAGACACAGGTCTCCACATGGGGCCCATCTAGGGGGTCCCAGCGCCAGGACATCGTGGACTGGGGCTCTCCCGTGACCACACGCAGAAAACCCTCGAGTCTGAGGGATCTTCCAGCCCAGACCCCAGACCCCACTTCAGCCCAAAATCACCCTCCTGCTCCGGGCAGAGGCTGAGCCACCCCAGCCGGCACCCTCCACCAGAGACCCAGCGCCGCAAAACACGCAGACCCCAGCTCACCTCCCTCCCATCCTCCCACCCCCGGGATGGAAAACCACAGCAGTGTGACCGGGCAGCCCAGCAGCCCGGCTGCACCGGCTCACCTTCGGAGGGAGCCGGGTCCCTCAAGCACCCCGGCCATGTGCAGCACTTACTGTTGTCGCATCATGGGGATATTGACACAGTTGGCAGCAGCCACGGCCGCGAAGGGGACCCAGCGGGCCAGCAAGGGGGGGGCTCGCTGTGGGAGACAGGCTGGCATCAGCACGGGAGGGCAGGATGCGGCCAGCTGCCCCAGCCAGCCCCATCCCGGCGTACCTTGGTGTAGAGGTTGAGTCCGACCGCAGTGGCTAGGGCTGTACCGGTGGCCGTGACGTAAGCCACCCCGATTTGCCTGGACAATGATTTCCAAAGAAGGGAGAGAACAGAAACACCAACTCTGACTCGATCCTGTTCTTTCGGCACCCAAGATGGGGCATGGGGGGTCTTTATGGGGCATCCAGGGGGGTTCCAACACAGAGGGTCCCCATCCTGTGCAGGGGCACGCTCACCTCAGCGAGATGGGGGAGGCGGCATTGCGGTTGGTGTAGTTGACGATGGCGTTGAAGGACTGGTTCACCCACTGCCAGAAAACCACAGCGGGCACTGTCCTGCAGAGGGAAGGGAATGGGCAAGCACCCAAGGGCTGTCAGGGATGCCTGGCCTGTGCCCACGGCCAGGCTTGTTGGGGGGACAGCCAAGATACCCTCGATACACTTGTCATGGTGTCTCCCATGGGAAACTGAGGCACTGTGGCAAAGCCACGAGCCAGTGGCAGAGCTGGGAAATGACCCCAGGAGTCCTGGCTGCTGCAGGGCTTTGGGGAGCACAAGAGAAGGCCCAGCCCTGCGGGGTGCTCAGTCAGGGGTGGGAGACCCAGCCCTCAGCAGGGCAGCAGCCATCCTGCTTGGCTGAGATAAGCCTTTGTCAATAGGAGCGGCAAGGAGGGGGCACACGGGGACAGAGGCAGCTCTAGGGTTGACCAGGACACCTGGGCTCCTACCAGTGTCTCAGGGACACTGAGGTGGGGCAGGAGAGGACATGGGGAGATGTGGGTCTGAGCAAGCCTTGGGATGCAGGAGGGTGGAGGTGGGCTGGAAAGAGGGTGACCCATCAGCACTGGGAGATCCCCCACCCAGGCTCGACCTCACCAGCAACTGGCAAACAAGTCCAGCAAACAGGGGTGGGATGGGATGGGATGGGATGGGGATTGTCCTGGTTTCAGCCACTGGGAAAGGCGGTGTCTGCCCCACACAGCCTCTGTGCTGGGGACAGGATCGCTCACCCCCCCAGCAGCCATTTCAGAAGGGAAATGCAGGAAGCTGTTGGCATGGGCTGGGGAGGCTGGAGCAGCCTGGCCTGGGGGCACATTTGGTCCTTGGTTTCAGGGACTGTTATGGTCCACGGAGCAAGAGCAGCAGCCACACAGGACCTGGCTGCGTTAATCATTACAGGGGCTCCGGGAAGAGCTGAGCTGAGGTCAGGGCAAAGCAAGACCATCCCCAGCCATGCCAGAGGCTGGGAGGATCCGTGATGCTTCCACCACAGGCTGGGCGCTGGGGACAGGGCACAGGGACACAGGGCTTGGCCACGTGATGCAGGCAGACACAGCAGCCATGGGCAGCCTCGGGCAGCAGCCAGCCCCAGAGGAGGCAGACTGGCTGTGCCCTGGCCATTGGGGACCCCTTGAGGGGCAGGGAGCTGTCAGGGCTGCATCCCCAGCCCGGCATCCCCAGCAGCTCACCGGTAGAACTGGAGCATGCAGCCGGTGAGGGCCATGCCCCCCGGCACCTGGAAGGACATCCTCCCGATGAGGTTCATCTTCTCGCCGCTATCAGGGTGGAAGGCTGAGTCGTACAGCTTCTTGGCGTAGAGCAGCTGCTCCTGGCTGCTTCCCGGCGGCACCAGCCCGGCCCTGCAAGCCCAGAGCCTGTCGGTGGGAGCCACGCAGACCCACCGGCACCTGGCACCGCTGGGGCATGGAGCCCTGGGCGCCAAACATGAAAGGCAGAGACTTGCCCCAACTTGAGGCTCCTGGGAGAAGCCTGGGAAACTCCCCCAAAACCACCTCCAATAGATGTTACGTCCTAGCGTGCCTGCTTCGGAATGACTGCCTCCGTCCCACCACGGCCCTGCAGGGTGGTCGGGTACAGCCGCGGGCACGGGGATGGCACCTGACCCGGCTGCACCCCTGCCCCTCACCTGCAGCCTTCCACCAGGGCCTTGGCCCGGTCCAGCTCCTCCTCCGGCACCAGCACGGTCCGCGGGTCAGTGATGTTGAGGAAATGCTTCAGGCGTCCCACAAAAGTGCTCTGGTCCCAGCGTGGGGCATCGATGTTAAAGCCAAGGGGGACGGCGGCCATTTCAGCGCAGGTCTGGGCAGGGAGAGAAGGTGGCTCGGGAGGATCCTGCCTCGCTTGCCCGTCGAGTGTGGGCCTGCCACGGCCACAGGAGTGCTTAACTGGGTGAGAGCTGTGGCAGGTTTATATTTAACGGGAAAGTTGGACTTTCAGCAGCCCTGAGCCCAGGAGCCTCCCGCACCCCTGCTGCCGGCTGAACGCTGCAGCGAGGCCACTCCTTCACACGCCACCCTGCCTGCACGGGGTCCCCCCACTTGTGCTTCCCCCCCCCAGCACCTGGCACCCCTTCCTCAGGGTGGGACCGTGCCGCGCAGCACTGCGGGGCCCAGCTTGCCCCTTCCACAGGGCTGCACAGCACCACCCTGCGGGCATTACACTGCACCCCCCCACTCATGGGCAACATGGCATGGCACTGCATCCCCTGCACTGGGCTCTATGTCCCCCAGTGGCACTGCACGCCCCCATGGCAGTACACTGCACCCTCCCATGCCTGCGCTGCACGTGCCCCCGAACACTGCCTGCACCCGCTGTGGCACTGCACCCTCCTGTGACTGCACTGCACAGCCCCACCGATAACTGCATTGCCTGTGGCACCACACTGTACCCTCCCATGGCACCGTACTGCACTACTGCACCACACTGCACCCTCCCATGGCATCGGCACTGTGCTGCACTGCACATCCTCCGTAACAGGGACGTCACACCTCTGCAATGCTGTCGTGCTCTCCTGCATACCACGACGCTGCATCCTCTGCGGCACACACTGTGCATCCCCCACAGCGCTACATGGCCCTGCACGCTCCCTGTAACACTGCCCTGCACCCCCGTGGCACTGCACTGCATGCTCCCCATAGCAGTGCACTGCATGCTCTCCGTGGTGCTACACTGCACGCCCCCCTTAGCACTGCCCTGCCCTGCCCTGCACTACCCTGGACACTGCCCGTAGCGCTGCACAGCGCCCTCGCGGCACTACAACGCCCGGCTCGCCCCCCGGCACCACACCGCGCCGCGCTGCATTGCACTGCACTGCACGCCCCCGCCCCGCGCGCCGTGCCGCGGCCCCACGTGGCCCTACCTGCGGCCCCCAGACCCCTCGCGCGCCGCCTGCCGCCCACGTGGCCCCCACCTGCCCCCGGGCTCCGACGCGTGGCCGCCCTCAGCCAATCACAGGGGTCCCAGCGGCCGCGCCCATCTCCCCTCGGCAGGGTCGCCCCCCCTTGTGCGCACGCGCCGGCCGAGAGGGCGGGGCTAGCCGCGGGCAGTGGCGCCGGGCTCCGCCCCCTCCCGCCCGTCGTCGGCACGTTCCGTACGTACGGCGGGAAGCGCTGACGCTATACGTGGCGGCGGCGGGTGTGTGACGCAGTTGCCCATGGTAACCCCGGAGCCGCGCCGAGGATGGTGAGTGGGGCGGGGG